ACACTGAAGACTTGCTTTCATATGCAGTTGGTTTAAAAATCAACATCTGAAATATTTGGTTTTAACTATTACAAATAATAAAAAAGTCCTAGTTCATATGCACTACCAGATTGAAAAATTAAAATCTAAAGTGTTTGACTTTAACAATAATAATAAAAAAAAAGGTCTTACTTCTGGATCATGGGAAGTATCATTTTGAATCTCCTTTAGTTTGTCCAAGCCAGTTGGAGCACTTCAAGTTCTTTCTGATTCTCTTGATGAAAAAGCTTACTTTTCTGGGACTTCCATGGATTTCCAGGAGGGAGGTGGCACATTTTATAGTTCTAGGGATAATAATTTAATATCAGTGCAACAGTTTCTTTACTCAGCACTCTCCCCATTCAGTTTTCATGTTGATAAAGGAAGGACAGTTTTATGCAGAGGGTGACAAAACAAGAGCCGTTGCTTTCTCTATATTTCCCTTTTCTTGCTGGTAATAAACAGCTTGAGTTTTTCCATAGTGAGGATCACAGGCTGGCATGATGCCGAGGAAGAAGCTGCCATGTTTGCTGCAAATACTCTAGGGCACATAGCTGAGAGGATGAGGGAGAGTCAAATAAATAAATTGCACTAGATACCACTTTCACTGACCCCATGACATCTCTGCCTCAAGATGGACATCCACAGGGTGAGGGTAAAAACAGCCTTGGCTTCCAACAACAGACAAGACCTAAGGATATGATATGTGTGATATGTGCTACCACTAGCATATTTTATCTTATTATTTTTATGGGGTTTTAAATTTTTTTTTTATTTTATGATCTGTTGTTATTCTCTTATTCACATCAACTGATAACATGTCAGCCATAAAACCCACTGATTTCTTCTGCATATTTTATGATCATTCTGAACACTCATGGAGCATGGCTGCTACACTGAGCTAGCTGGGTGGAAACTGCAGTGGTGGGTCCTGTCCATTTTCGACAGGAGGTGTATTTCAGTCTCTGTTTTTCACCACAGTAAACAGATAAGGACAGTGGCCCTCCCAGATGTCTGCATTTCTCCCATGTGCTGGGAAAGTCCACTGAGAAAGTACTCATTAGCACAGCATATGAGTCTCTCTGAGCCTGGAGGAGGGGGGTAGGAAGATCTTATTAATTTAGTCAGTGCTGTGCAGCTTGCAGAAACACTGTCAGCTTCTGCCTACACATATCTCACCTCCTATTGTTAAAGAAATTATAGCTGCTGAAAGAGATGAAAAAGTAACTCATTTATTTTCTGGCTTTCATAGTAATAAGACAAATCTGATTCTCCTTGATGCTGTAGTATGTCTCTGCTTTTCAGACTGGGGTCTTTTGGGGTAGCAGTGGGGACATGATTCTCTGCACAGATGCTGTCAGAGAAAGTGTGCTAGCCTATTTCAGTGGCTCTGACTGCACTGACCACATTTATTGGGGTATATCACTCATTCAAGGACTTAGGACTTTTCAAGACTAATTAGTATCTAGTTAGTGCTTTCCTGTTTCTCACTTGTGGAAAGCCAGAAACCTGCAAAGCTGTGGAGAGGTCGAGCGAAACTTTCAGCAGAAATTTCTGAAGATAGCTATGAGTTCATGGGAATGGAATGATTTGGGTTGGAAGGGACCTTAAGGATCATTTTGTTCCAACTCCCTGACATGGACAAGGACACATTTCATGAGACCAAGTTTTTCAAAGCCCTATCCAAGCTGGTCTTGAACACTTCCAGGGATAAGGCAGCTACAACTTCTCTGAGCAACCTGTTGCAGTGTCACCACACTGAAAGTGAAGAATTTCCTCCTGATCTCTAATCTAGACCTACTCTCAGTTTAAAGCCATTTCCCTTCATCTTGACATCTCCTTGTCAAAAGTCCCTCTCCTACTTTCTTGTAGGCCCTTGTTAGTTACTGGAAGGTGCTGTAAGTTCTCTCCTCCAGGCTGAACTACCCAAATTCTTTCAGCCTTTCCTCACAGCAGAGGTGCTCCAGCCCTCTGATCATCTTCATGGCCTCCTCTGGACTCACTCTGGCAGGTTCATGTCTTTTTTATGTTGGGGGCCCCAGAGCTGGACCCAGTATAGTGTTCATGCTAACTCTATGACTATTAGACTGCTTATTGTCCTCTGAAAAAGAAATTGCAGATGTCTCCTGAGAACAAAACATGCAGTAGGTGGCACAGGCACACAGCACATTATGTCTCAGGGGTTTCCAGACAGGAGGTGCAAGAGCTTTTCCCACCATCTCTACTTGTCTCTCAGGTTCTGCTTTCATTTCTGCTTCTCACCAGTTCCCACCCTGCCATCACACAAAAATTCCACCTAGGGTCCCAGCTGAGTCCCCTCCCATTTCTTGTCAATCACTAAACCCTCCCATGTCAAAACAGTCACATTGACTCTGCTGTCACTGTCACCTTAATGTCACCTGTGCATTTATTCTTTCTGTATAACAGCTATTTTGTCAAAATGGCCCTTTTACTGGAAATTGATACTTACTGATTTCACACCTTGCTTTGAACATAAGAAATCAGAGCAAAATATCTTTTTTTTTCATCTACACTAAAACTACTTCATGAGATCCCTGATGGTGCACCTCAGAGTTGGCTCCTCAACACAAAGTGAACTCGCAGTCTGCACAAGCCTGGAGAAATCCTGCAAGACTGTTTCCTCTGAAGGCTGTATTGTTTCAATGGCACAGTTCTCCCAGTCTTCCCTTCCTGTTTTTCCATTCTTGTAAACACAGGGTATTTTAAGAGTCCATCTACTCATGTTACTTAGTTGTCTCCACTTTAAGTCATAACCCTCTGTGATATTACAGCTAATTGCCTTGCCTGTGATTCTATTGCAACTATGAATGCGATCATGATTTTCAACCCTATCTGTACAGAGTAATTTCAAAATACTTCACCTATTACCAGCTCCATCTGAACTTTAATGGCTTTTACAATTTTGAGGACATTTATTGTGTATCTGGCGAAACTGATGCTATTCCTAAATAGACAAGTGCCCATATCACTTTTTACACTAGTTGTAACTAGACTAATTTCGATCTTGCACCTTTCTGGCCTGCCTTTAGTCATGTTACTTCCATTACAGCAGCAAGGCTGGCTGTGGACAGAGGGGGATATTATTTAAAAATAGCACAATATATTTAAAGCCATTTCTGAGCAAGGGTGTGGATATCCCTTTCTGGAAATGTCAGTAGGTGAAGTATCTACACCATGCCAATGCTACGGCTCTTGTTTTGTCACCCTCTGCGTAAAACTGTCCTTCCTTTATCAACATGACATGGGACAGGAGATGGTTCTAAGCTCCTTGCGGCCCTTTGCTCCGTGAGGACTGTGATTTCTGCAGACACTCTGCTTGGCGAAACGCTCTTCATGAGACACGATGGGAAAAGGCAAAATGAGAGGGTGTTGTTGTTTTTTTTTTTGTTTGTTTGTTTGTTTTGCTCTGGTTCGGTTTGGTTTCCTGGAGGGCGCGGCGGGGCCCGGGGGTCGCGGCTGCCGCAGGTGGCGCGGCGGGGGCGGCGGCCGGCAGGGGGCGCGCTGGGCCCGCGGAACCGGAGCGGCCGCCGTGGGAACGGGGGGGCCGGCCCAGAGCCGGGGGTCCCTCCCTCCTCCGGGGGTCCCTCCCTCCTCCGGAGTTCCTTCGCTCGGGGTCCCTCCTGCCCGGGGGTCCCTCTCGCCCCGCGGGGCGGCCCCGCGCTCCCCATCACAACCCCAAGGTGCTCGCATGTTCTTAGCAAAACGCTGGGAAGCGGGGAATAAATATACATATAGGCATAGAGCATCCCTCCCAGCGGGCTGCCCGCGGTGGCAACGGGAGAGCCGCCTGGAAGCGTTTAGGGGGGAACAGTGGGGTGTCCTTCCACCTCCCGCGAGTGCGGAGCCAGCGCGGGGATGTGGTGGCAGGATGCGCGGGGCGTAGCTCGTCTGAGGCTGGTGGCTGCCCTGGGGGACGGGAGAATAGCAGTTGCGGGAGCTGCGGGAGGGGTTCGGCGACGCCCGGGAGGGTCGTAGGAAAGGGGGTTCCCGCGGGACCCCCCGCGATGGGGAACGCGGAGAGATAGGAGGGAGCGCCCTGTGGCAGCTCTGCAGCCGCCGCAGCTCCGCGTCCCTCGGGGATGACCGAAAGGAGAGAGGTCACCATGGGGCGAGAGGAGGTGGTCGGAGTGGGGGAGGCACAAGCCGGGGCGGGAGCACACGCGGGGACCGCCAAAGGGAGAGTGGCTGCAAGGTGACCCCCGTGGGGCTCTGCCTCCGCCCTCTCCCTGTTTAATCCTCTGCAGACGCCGGCAGAGGCGGGATAATCAAGCGGCGACCGGGTTGGGGGGTGCCCCAGCTACACACGCTCCTTTGTGCCGGGAGCCCGCGCCTCCCCCGCTGCCCCTCGGCCACCGCTCTGCGCTGCGGGACCAGCTCGCCCTAAGGTGCCGGAGCCTCGGCGAGGGGGGTGAGGGGCGAGTGAAGCCCCTTCCCCGCCACGGTTACGGCTCTCTTCCTTGCGGGAACGCCAGCGGGAGGAGGGGAACGGCGAGGAACTGCCTTTAATCCCTGCTAGTAATTTTTTTTTTTTTTCTACTATGTTTACTTCCGACCTCTCCGTGAGCGGCTCGTAGTAAAATAAAAAAAAATAGTAAAATAAATAAAAAGGGCCGCGGAGCGCGGCATCGCTTCTGCCGGCGCAGCTCCCTCCCTCCGTCCCTCCTTCCCGGCGGAGGCGGGAGCAGAGCGCGGCCGCGGATCTGTGCGGAGCGCGGATCGGAGCGCGGAGCGCAGCGCGCATCAGAGTCAGCCCTCGCAGCGCGCCCTCCCACGGCCGGAGTGTGCAGACTCCGCGCCTGCCGGGGAGCCGGGGGCGGGCTGGACGCAGCAGGGCCTTGCGGTAATGCACCCGCCCCCGCGGCCGCTCCCCCGCCCCTTGACGGCGCTTTAAAGGAGGAAAAGCAACTAAACTTCTATTGTACCGGCCAGCGCGCCGCGCCGCCCCGGACCAGCGACCGACCGCGCCGGGAGGCGGCTGCTCCGCCGCTCTGTGGGGTTTATCAAACCGTGGTGGGAGGAAGAGACCTACATTCTCCCGGCGTTTTGTCTATTTTTTTTCTTTTTTAATTTTTTTTCCCCCGTCCTTTCTGGCGGTTCTTTTTATCATCTATCCATTTTCCCTTCGTTGTTTCTGTACCGCCTGCAATAATCGCCTCGCTACGTCTCGCAGCTGGCGCGTTGGAGAAGCCGGTGAGTTGCGGGGCTCTTCGCTTCCCATCACTCGATTCCCGCGGTTGTGGCGTTTGGATTGACACGGGCTGGTGATACCCGGGCTGCTGGCGGGGCTGCGCTCCGCAGACGTGGATACCGACGAACACTCTCCTCTGCCGGGGCTCCGGCGTTCCCATCCTTTTTCTTGCGCTCGGATTTTAATTTAATTTTTTTGGGGGAGGGGAGCATTTGCTTCTCGCGTATGCGCGGGCAGGGTATGATTGTAGCATATATTACTTATATGCATATACATATATAGGCGGGTATATATGTATATATGACAAGATTTGGCAAAGTTTGCCAAGGTCGCTGCTTGTCCCCGCGCAGTGCCAGCACGCCCAGGTGGGTGGCTGAGGAACAGCCCGGCTCCCGGCTGGAAGCCGCCGGCCGCTCGGCACCCGTTCCCGCCGGGACGGGGGATAGGGATGGCGCTGCGGTCCCGAGAGGGAAGGAGCTCCCTGCCGGAGCCGTGCCTCATGTGAGCGGCGGCGGCGGGGAACCGAGCTGAGCCCAGCCGAGCCGGGCGGCTGGGCTGCCGCAGCCCCTCCGGGGGAGCGGGGAGGGTGGTCCGGGAGCCGGCAGCCCACCCCTCGGTAGGTCAGGTCGCGTTGCCCGATTGTCCCGCCGTACTGAGAACAGGGAGAAGGAGGGTCGTGGTTTGGTTTTTGGTTTTGTTTTTTTTTTATTACTATAATTATTATAATTTTTTTTCTTTTAATAAATCCGACTGCGCATTTCCCTGCCGGCACGGTGTGGGGGGCCGGGAGGGAGCGCTGCGCACCGGGGGGCCGGTAGCTCTGCTGAAGCCGGGGGGAGCCGACCCCCACTGCTCACCCGGTGCCCCTCTCCCCCCTCCTTCCCGCAGGCACCAGCCGCCGCGATGCCGCTCAGCGCCGGCTTCTCCAGCAAGAACTACGACTACGATTACGACTCTGTGCAGCCCTACTTCTACTTCGAGGAGGAGGAAGAGAACTTCTACCTGGCGGCACAGCAGCGGGGCAGCGAGCTGCAGCCCCCCGCCCCGTCCGAGGACATCTGGAAAAAGTTTGAGCTGCTGCCCACGCCGCCCCTCTCCCCCAGCCGCCGCTCCAGCCTGGCCGCCGCCTCCTGCTTCCCCTCCACCGCTGACCAGCTGGAGATCGTGACCGAGCTCCTCGGGGGGGACATGGTCAACCAGAGCTTCATCTGCGATCCGGACGACGAGACCGTCAAGTCCATCATCATCCAGGACTGCATGTGGAGCGGCTTCTCCGCCGCCGCCAAGCTGGAGAAGGTGGTCTCGGAGAAGCTGGCGTCCTACCAGGCAGCCCGCCGAGAGGGCTGCTCCGCCGCCCGCTCCGGACCGCCGCCCGCCGCGCCGCCGGCACCGCCGCCCGGCCTGGCCACGTCCCCCCCCGCCTCCGCCAGCCTCTACCTGCACGACCTGGGCGCCGCCGCCGCCGACTGCATCGACCCCTCGGTGGTCTTTCCGTACCCGCTGAGCGAGCGGGCCCCGCGGGCCGCGCCGCCCGGCGCCAGCCCCGCGTCCCTGCTGGGCGTCGACACGCCGCCCACGACTAGCAGCGACTCGGGTGAGTGGGACCCACGCGTGTCCGGGAGGGCGTGGGAACCCGCGCGGCGCCAGGGCTTCCCGGGGCGCAGCTGGAAGGCAGCACCCCCCGATCCCTCCTCAGCCCCCTTTTGCCCCCCTCCTCCCGTGCGTCTTTTTTTTTTTTTTTTTTTTTTTTTTTTTTTAAATGCCACGTTTGCGAGGCACGGAGTGTCTCAGCCGGCTTATTTCCTGGAAAACCAGCCCAGTTTTTCCTCCGGGGAATAAGGGAGTGAAAAGCGGGGGGAAAAAAGTAGAAAGAAAGTGTAGGAGGGATAAACTTTCATCATGGGGTCCCGATAAGGCTGGCTCCCGGTTTCACCCGTGGGCCGGGAAGGAGTTAACTCCAGCCCGAGAGCCGCGGGCAGAATGTGCAGTCAGGGAGGTGCTAGTGAAAGTGACTGCAGGGGAGTGAATGGGGCTGGGAAAGTTTTAGAAATGCTTCCTTAGGTATGTGACAGCGGGTTCCGCTCCCTCGTAAATCTGTTTGAAAGTGAGTTTCTACCCAAAGCGCTACAGCCTTCCCTTTTTCCTTTTTTCCTCTTTTTTTTTTTTTTTTTTTTCCAAACTCCCTCCTATTTTCCACAAATTAACAGATCAAGAGAGATTCAGAAAATGCCTCTGAATACTCATGTGTGTTAAGTAAGCTTTCTTTTAAGGCGTGGCCAAAGCCTTCTAAATCCATAATTAAGGGCAGCTTGAGTCTGGGAGCTTTATTGCGCTGTACTGCTGACAACCGAGGTTAAACTTTCCTACTATCTTTCATGCACTCGGCATTACGCAAGATCATTACAACTTTTTGAAATCAGGGAGCCAGGGTTTGGGCTGCAGTCCATGTGTCCTATTGCACTTGAAGCAGTGCTTCCTTAAAGGAAAGGCTCTTGGAGAAAGCTATGTCCAACATCATGAAGTGGATTTAAGGAGGGTTTGTCATTGGGTTCCTCATTGTGCAACTCAGAGTAGCCTTCCCTTTACATCCAGTAGTCTTGAGAGTTCCTACATACAAGTTATGAGGTTTTAATTTTTTTTTTTTTTTTAATGGCAGAAGAAGAACAAGAGGAAGATGAGGAAATCGATGTTGTTACATTAGCTGAAGCAAATGAATATGAATCCAGCACAGAGTCCAGCAGCACAGAGATGTCAGAAGAGCACAGTAAGCCCCACCACAGCCCGCTGGTTCTCAAACGGTGTCATGTCAACATCCATCAGCACAATTATGCCGCTCCTCCCTCCACCAAGGTTGAATACCCAGCTGCAAAAAGGCTAAGGTTGGACAGTGGCAGAGTTCTCAAACAGATCAGCAACAACCGAAAATGCTCCAGTCCACGCACATCAGATTCGGAAGAGAACGACAAGAGGCGAACACACAATGTCTTGGAGCGCCAGAGGAGAAATGAGCTGAAGTTGAGTTTCTTTGCCTTGCGTGATGAGATACCCGAGGTAGCCAACAATGAAAAGGCTCCCAAGGTTGTCATCCTGAAAAAAGCAACAGAGTACGTTCTTTCCATCCAGTCAGATGAACACAGACTGATTGCAGAGAAAGAGCAGTTGAGGAGGAGGAGAGAACAGTTGAAACACAAACTTGAGCAGCTAAGGAACTGTTGTGCATAGAACTTTTGAGCATCGCTTAGAATAATGCAAATAGACTGAAACTATGATAAAATATTAATGATTCTAATATCTCTCATGAACTACACAGTCCATCGAGTATGGAACTATTGCAACTGCATGCTGTGCGATTTAACTTGAGACTACACAACCTTGGCTGAACCTCCCAAGGGTTTGGCCAGAACCTCAAAACTGCCTCATAATTGATACTTTGGACATAAGGGATGATGGGACATTCTTCATGCTTGGGGATGAACTCTTCAATTTTTTTTCTTTTAAAATTTTGTATTTAAGGCATTTTTTCATACAAGAATCCAAAAGAAAAAAGTTGTCCCCAGTTTGCTGTATATATTTACACATCATATTACCATGTAAATACCTTTAATAAAGCCTTTATAGAAAAATGTGCAACATTAATACGCAACAGTTGTGGCAACTGGATTTATACTTGTCTTGAACTTCTGTGCCATAACATTTCACAATTTTGTTTTTTATTTAAGTACTTTTTTTCCTTTTAAAAATGATTTTTATTTTGTTTTTAGATAAATAAATATTTGCCCAAAATATAATTAGCTAAATCCTGTGTAAAGACTTCACTTTGTCTCCTACTACTGTCATTAGATGCCTTTCTATGACATTCCTTTTTCTTTCATCCTGGCAGTGACCTGACTGAAGTTGAAGAGGGGGTTGGTGAGGGGGAAATGGTGATCATTTTGCAGTTTCATAAGGACTAGTTTCTTGCTCCCACTCCATCTCTTAATTCCAATAGATAAAATTGTTGGTCTAATGTGCCTTGTCAATTCAACTTGCCTTGCCACCACGTCCTCCATGCAGCTGGTGGTAGCAATGCCCATGTTGGTCATGGTCATCTGCCTGCTGAAAGTAAAGCTGGAGTGGTGTGTTTTTTCACTGATCATCCCAGTGTATAGGCTCTGCATTCCTTCCACATACGTATAATTACATTTTTCAGGGCATGACCTTCATTCTGCACTAGGGACATAGCCATGTACTTTGAGAGCTGCTTTGTAGTAAGCTCACCTTAATTGCTTCCTGTTTGATTTTAACAGAAGTTAAAGAGGATAAGAAAATAAACTGAGATGGTGAGTGTTGAAGTGGTTAAAACAACAGAGCGGTTTCCCTTTTTAAGTGCTGAAATCAGCAGAGCCAATCTTCTTGGTCAAACACCTTAACACTTTATTAATGTGAATAGTTACTTGGGATTTCAAGGGATACAAAGTTCAAGGACACAGAAAAGGGAGCAAAGGAAAAGGAGAACTATTTCTCACTTGAAGAGTATGCTCAGACAGATTCCTAACATTTGCCAGACATATTAAATAATATTTACATTCAGGACTTGTCTCATGATCAGCTTCTGATGGGCCATAAGTTACTTGCTTGACACAGCTCTGAAGATTAGATTTGATTCTTTCTCCCTTTTTTGCCCTCTTAGCACCACTTTGGTCATTACTTCAGCAACAAATCAATGAGCCCTTTGATGTGGAGGAAGAATGTGTTTTTCAAAAACTTGGGCCTTGCACTTTTTTGATTTTCATAACTCCCGTTAAATACATATTTGCTTGGCTTCTAACCATTAGAGGAGCAGTGCTGCCAGATAGCACCAGTGCCAGCCATTGAACTGGGACCAGGGGTTCAGGTCTTTCTATTCCTTTTGAGTTCAGAGTGGGAAGAAGAATATTTGGGTCTGGGATAAGGGCAGGTAGCACCATGCAGACAGGGTAGATGCCAGAGGTCTCTGCTCTGCAAAGCCCTGGGTAACCATCCCAACAATCTTGCATGAGGGAGTTTGAAAAAAAGGTAAGTGTGTAAATCCTATTTGATGGAGGGCTTTAGGTGTTTGAAGGTTTCTTGGGGCAAAAGAACCCCATTATGTTAGAAAAACAGGATAAAACAAGGCTTTTCTTTTAATTTTTTTTTGTATCACCCCCTGTAACTGGGTTTATAGAAGTGGTCAGCAGTTGCTTTTTTCTGACATGTGATTCAGATATTCACTTACAAGGAAAAAATAAGTATATGAAATGAAATTGTTAATTGTATCTAAACTGTAAATCAGGACAACTTCAGCTATGAATAGCATAAAAGTTCTGCCTTTTATTAGAATATCTAATTTTAAAAATACATTAATTTCATTTGCCTTTTGGTGTGCTCCTTATTTTAGATATTGCTTCAGAACAGAAGCAAGATGTTCAAGAATTTAAAATTGCAACCCCATCTTCCAAAACAAATCAGGAGGTGTAGATCCATCCACAAAACCTGAAAAATATGTCACCTTTGAGTTCCATATGTTTCATATGGAAACTCAAAACCTGTTGAGTTTCATATGTTAGCAAAATCCCCCAGCTTCTTCCCGTTAAATGAAGCTAGACCACAATGATTAATGAACCTCTTCTTATTTGTCAGCTTCTTATATCATTTGGAGAATGGTTTTGGGTTTTCTCTTCTATCTGCAGGAGGTCCTTAGTCTTTTGATGAATAGGGTGGATAGTTTCAGTTATTTAATTTCTTACTCTCATCTTTTAATTAAGCATCAGTTCCTCTACTCTTTCCTACTGGAAAACAAACCATGAACATTATCTAAAAATATATGGTTTTATGGGCTGATGCTTCATATTTATGACATTTCTTACTTTATTGTAGGATTGCAAAGTACCTAAATAATGCAATTTTAAAAGATTAAAACAGCCTGTGGGTACAGGGTTAAGAAACCTCTTCTGGTCATTAAATTACTGCTGGAATAAAGAGGAACGTGGCTTCCACTTTCCAACTCCTCACCAGAGATTAGCACATGAATGTGAAGACACAAACATCTCACAGGAGTTTCTGGGCTGGATTCAGTTAGTAGTGCCTTGTATCTGGATAGGAAGGTGCTGGGTTTTGCTGCTGTTTTGGAGCAATAGAGGAGATAAGCTTACAAAGCAGCATCTGAGCCTGGAAATGAAATGCAGAATTTATGGTGCTTCCCAAACAGCTGTACCCAAGCTCTAGTTGAAGTACAAGGAGCATTTTTCACTTCACTTCTGTGCTCCTTTACTTTCACAGGACACTTCAAGCTACTTCTCTTCCAGAAGAACTTTAGGCAAAATGTGGCATGAACGGAAACTAGAGACAAACCATCAGGATGAAAATAAAATTTCCTTTATCATATACCCTCACTGATTTAATTTAATTAAATACCAACTTTGAGGATTCCATCTTCATTTTTATTCTTGTGCTTAAATTTTGTCTTTCCGGCCAAGTTATCAAGTAAACGGCTTCAATGTTTCAATTCAGAATATGCTGGGGGAGAACTGGGATGTATAAAAGAATCCATGTCTGCTTAATTCAGCTCCCACTGGAATCTGTAGGAATTCCATGTTTCTTCCAGAGAAACAGATTTGTGCTAGAGTAGGATGCTCTTGAAAATTTTATCACTACCTATGAAGAAATCACTTTTCTTGTCCCTACGTAAGCACTCTTGCTCATGAAGCACTTTGCAACCCTTGCAGGCAGTTGAGAGATGAGAAACATTTCATCAGAGTTGCATGAAAGAGAGAATTTCAGGTAAGTGGAGTACAATAACTGTAAACTGCAAATAAGCCAGGCCACTGCAGTTGAAATCTGAATTTATTCAAAACAGAAGGTGGAGGTGGTTGTTTCATCTACAGAGATGAGCCATCTTCTAATATGTTTGATTTGTTTGTGTTAGAATCATCTGCCAATGAATTAACAGAAGAATAAAACTGAACTATAAGTGATCCTAACACAGGCAGACAGCTTGGGGAGAGGCTCAGAATTTATTTCGTAGCTTACAGGTTTGCTATTCCTTCATTTTAACAGGACATCTATGGCAGCTTCTGAAAAATAGCTTCTGCAGCTTATCTTTCTCATTTCTTGATTTCACTTTTTTTTCCAGGCAAATTTAGGCCTCATCTGTGTGGAAACAACAAGGGGAAACCAGGGCTTAGTTCTCAGTCAGCAGAGTCTGATTTCATTTCCAGTACAAAACATTTGATGTTCAGCAGGTTTTACCTACCTTCGTATCATTTACTCATCTCAGACACAGCTGTAAATGTCATGGGGGACAGACTGTAAAAAAAATGTTATCCAAGATTCAGAGTAGCAGCTAGAAAGTCAAAGGAGAATTTTTTTCCTAATTTATCTTGAGTGAAGTGAAGGTGCAAGAATTTGGAGCATCTTGCTTATAGCAGTGGACTCAACCATGTGAATAATTCCCTTTATAGAACCATGGAATTGTTTAGGTCAGAAAAGTCTTTAAGATCATTGAGTCCAACCACTAGCCCAGCACTGGCAAGTCCACCATTAATCCATATCCACAAGTGCTGCACCTACACGTCTTTTAAATCCCTCCAGGGATGGTAACTCAGCTGTCTGTCAACCAACACCTCCAGGTCCTATTCCACTGGGCAGAAAATACTGGCCCAAACACTGGGCTCTCGGGAACAACACTTGTAACTGGATTTAACTCTACTCACCACCATTCCTATCCAGCCAGATTTTTATCCAGGGAAGAGTGCACATGTCCAAGCCATAAACACCCAGTTTTTCCAGGAGAATGCTGTGAAAGATGCAGTGTCAAAGGCTTTGCTAATGTCTAGGCAGACATCACAGCCTTTCCTGCACCCACTAAGTGGGTCACCTTGTCATAGAAGGAGATCAGGTTGGTCAAGCAGGACCTGCCTTACATAAATCCTTGCTGGCTGGGCCTGATCCCCTGGTTGTCCTGTACATGTCAGGTGATGTCACTCAAGATGATCTGCTCCATAGCCTTCTCAGGCACTGAGGTCACGCTGAGGGCGTGTAGTTCCCCAGATCCTCCTTCAAGCCCTTCTTGCAGATGTGCCTCATGAAAGAGTTGCAGTTACTGTGCTTCCAGGGGGGGAGCTAGTTTGGGTGGGACCCTGGCCAGGCAGAGGCAATGTCACCCTCAATTGGTTTGTACTATAATACAAGTCCTTTTTCAAGCCCAAGCAGCTTGTCTTCAAATGTGTCCAGACTCCACCTTCCTAGCAAAAGAGATTCTTTTTTTTTTTCTGATAATGATGAGTCTGACTTTTGGTGCTGAATATTAATGCATATGAAGAAGTGTTAATGGCCACTTGCCAAAACTATTTAATATTTGTAGTTACTAAATAAATCTTTCTTCAAGTTGCCACAAATGCATGGGAGCCCAAGCTACAAGGCACTTCTGCATGGTTGTGCTTGAAACCATCAGACACAGGGGAGAAATCACTGGCTGAGAGTGGACCCACACAGCTCAGGCTGACTGAAATATCTTATTCCCACAAGCACTGTTTCCAGTTTCCGGCTTGATACAGGAATTGTGGAGTTATTCTTTTTTCTAGACAAGTCTGGGAGAAAGCAGCTAGTTCCTGACATTATGTGTTATGGTGATTACATTTTATTGCTAAATTCACCCTTCACATATGTCTGTCTATGGATCTTGCCATGGCTGCTTTTCTGTTGAATACATTTCCATTTGAGGCAAAATCTTTCTTGCCACCATGTGTAATTTCCATCTCAAGCTTCTGTGTCCCAATTACATGGAATTATG